TAATTAAAAAATAAATTATATATAAAAGTGCTGTGATAAGCAAAGATCAAGAGATGTGTATAGATTAAATATATTATAAAATATGATTATTGTATTAAATTATAATGAAATATCAAATTATAATTTCTGTCAAATATCTAATATATAATATCGTTTTTATGTGGGATTAATAAATTATTTAAAGTTAATCTCTAATTTAATCTTTGATATACATATAATAGTTTATATACATATACAGAGGTCTATTTCAAACAATCAATTAAAATGTCTTAAAATCCTTAAGTTTAAAACAAAATGTTTCGAACAAAAGTTCAACAATTACTCAATTATTAAGAGGAAAGATGATAATAATTTTGAGATGTCAGGTCGATTATTTAAAATTTTTTAAATTGAATCCCATTTTGTACTTTATATTCGTCTTCTTCTTACGTTAGGCCTGTGTCACACCTCTCATATGCTTGTGGTGCGCACGCTGATTATTCAATTGTCACGAACATATGGGATCTACAATTTTAATGTCGGTTTCGAACGGCGGATTTTGTGAGAACAATTTTTTTTGTTTCTGTGAGCAAGGAGATGGGAGAAAAGACATGAGTGTAAATATTTTTCCTATTATTTTCGTAAATTTTTTTCGTAAATATTGGTTCCTATTGAGATCGAATTCGGGATCTTTGGCATTCATCACGTTTCGTGATGCTAGACCAGTACGCTATCTGCCATGCTACGCTCGCACTCATTTTATATTTATGTAGCTTCTAAACTTTTTCAAATACTACAATGAAGTATTTTTTCATTAAGTATTTTACAAGTTATGAAGGCTTAGTCAATCAACTATCTTAAAGCAATTAAGTTTAAAATGAAGAAAAAATAAATTTGAAGATATATCAATTAAAATCATCTCTTTATCTCAAACTTAATTGCTTTAAGATAATGAGTTGACTAAGCGTTGATCTGCTATCTTTCAAGCCCCCTAACTTATAAATTACTTAATGAAAAAAATACTTTATTATAATTTTATTATAATTTTGAAGCTATATAAATATGAAATCAAAATTAAAAAAAATAGAGGTCTCAATTAAAAAAAAATTAAATAACCTTGAGTTGTTCTTAAATACATTCTTCTCAAGGTCAACCAAGATCCTTTTTCTCTCTAGCAACTTTTGTTTAAAACATTTTTGCCTTAAACTTAAAGATTTTGAGATATTTTAGTAAATCGATTAAAATGACCCACTTTATATAATTATCGATGCATTAGAATAAAATCACTTTACATTAGTCACAATTATCCTTGCATTTTTATTTAATATTAATTATTAAACAAAATTAATTAATATCTAACTCTAACTTTTAATATTCTCCGCGGTAGAAATATTATATTTTAATATTTAATTTTCATTAAATTATTAAAATATATAAGAAAAACAAGATTTTTATTATAGTATATGGAAAAGTGCGATATAAGTTAGTCAGGTGTTACTTTTTTCAAGTTTTTGTTTTACTTGTAACACAAAGCTTGTACTTTTTTATTTATTGCTACAAAGAAAATCAACTAAAAAATTGATCCTTTTCTCGAAATTTCTTGTTTACATATACCAAGGACAGCAAACATTACGCGTCTTTTATTCAATGAACACTAACGATGACAATAATACATTAATATCAAATAATCAAGTAATTAAATACAACGGAATCACACATCGATTTGAACTCGTGCAATCAAACTCGTACAAACAAACATAAGAAAATGCAATATTCTATATCAATCCCATAAAATGTCTTTCAATAGCTTAAAGACATAATCCATGATACGCGCTCTAGGTAGATAAATTTATAAAATGAGCTATACATTTTTGTGGCATCGCAAAGTCGCAGAAATAATGTACAATGGTTTCAAAAAATCCAAGTAAGGACGTGAATCAAGTGCAGACACGTGCAGATACTGCAGATATTCTTGATATTTCAAATATAATACAGATAATACAGATACATTCACTATATTCACAATCAAGAACAGAGTGAGCGGCATTAATTTCAACCTATACTCAAGTTCTCTTCAGCCAAACATATATGTATGTATATATATATATATATA